TATAGCTGTTCAACACTTGCTGCGTGCAAAGCAGGAGTAAGTGCACAGGGCTCTGTTAGCAAGGGGCATCATGAGAAAATCCGTACTGCCTCAGAACTGCAGAGCTTTACTCTGCCATCTGAACTCTTGCCAAAACCAAATTCAGGAGCTGGTGACCCCCACTTCTTTCCGTGGCAGAGCAGGGTTATATGAAAGAAGCATCTGCACTTCTAATACAGTTGGAAGATTCCTCTAAAATGCAATCAACTGCCAATTGGAGCGAGCACATGCCTTATACACATATTAATTATTGGAAAATTATCTCTAGTTTTGATTTCTTCACCTTTCATGAATAAGCACAAATTAAAAGACTTTAGAAACGCAACACAAGAATGATATAAGACTGATCTTTCATATGATTATTCATATCACAGGAAACTATTGAAGTGTGTTTTCCTTAATTTGCCCAAGCAAAAATCAAGATGTGACACGACAAAATCTACAAAATCTAATTTTCTGCGCAGCAGGGAAGGGCACAATGTGATGCAGTGTTTAGGGACAGACCAGAAATAAACCCACATGTTAGCAGTGTGGTTAAACTACCTGAGCACAGCTTAGGCATGTCATGGGTTCTCCTTCACTTGACTTTTAAAAATCAGGTTTAGACATCTTTAGAAAAATATGCAAAAGTAATACAGATCAAAAAGAAAAGATTTCTTTGATAAAAGCATTATTGGACTCGATTCTTTTGACTATGGTCTTATAGAAGGTCAGACTAGGTGATCCCATCATCTCTGGGTTTGAAATCGCTCTGTGGTGGTATGCTGACATGTGTGATGAGATCTTCAGCTTGAAAAAAGGAGTTAAAAGATTCAAAAGGTTCTATTTACTATATATTTGTCATTACTTTTTTTCCTGCAGAACACACAATAAAGCTAAAAATATTACCCAAACTCAAAATGAAAAATTATATATCCATTACTTCTTAAACTATCTTAAAATAGAGGCACTAACTCCAAAATCAATTTAACCTGCCGATGTATGTGTCCATTGGAATTATTTTCTATTAATTCTATCAGAACTACAATGCATCGAGCTTTAAGTAGTCTGGGTACTGAATAAAAAGTAAAAAAAACCCTCCAAACTCTTCCACGATGAACTCAAGACAGATAAAACCCAGAGCATTGAATCGTGCATTTGACAAACATAAAATCACCCACAAAAATTCAGTCCAATCATGAATGATCTCAATGATAATAAACTCCTCTTCACTTGAAAGAATGGAATGTGTGGGTGGCAAGCAGATGAAGGCAAATGCAATTAACCTAAAGGAATATGGATTCACTCTCTCCCATTAATCACCACACTTGGTTTTGTTGAAAACCTGGAAAGGCCACATTATTGAATGCCACTTTTTATAATTTTCAAGCAAGCATTATCGCTGGGGTATTTCAGTTCACCGGATAATCGCCGCTGCTAGCAAAAGATAAATGTATTCAGAAGTTAATATGGTGTAGGCTATTCTCAGTGAATTGCTTTTTTAAAAGAGGAATTCATAAAAACCCCTCCGTTTTACCCAAATCATTGCCCATGGGCACAATGTCTCTTCTGCAGCCCACAGGGATTACTGCAATTTCTTTGTAAGCTTCCAGAATAGGGAATGTACTGCCATTCCCTCTCCGGCTATCAAGTGGTTTTACTGGATATTTTTTTTGTGCAAGAACTGTCAATACAGGACATTCTGTTCAAATGAGGCACTTAAAGGCCAGCTTTTCCCAACGAGAGGCACACACTGCATTTACCAAAATTTCAATTGCCTTGTATCTGTGGTCGTCACTGAAGAAAAAAAAAAATTAAAAAAAATAGTGTAACATGGTTTTCCCAGCTCTGAGACCAGCTGCACAGTCAGGGCACACACATGTGTTTGAGCAGATGAGTAGGATTTGTGGGAACGCTCTTCTCCCTCGGCTCAGGGGTGGCAGGAAAAAACAATTTGGGATGATTTGACAGCAATGCTGGAAAAGCGTGGTTGTATGAGAAATGCTTCACCATCAGAAGAATGCATGAGAAACAGGGAAACTTTCCCTGGGTTCATTGCCACTTTGGGTAGATCCACCACATTGCTTAAGTGTAGCTGCCTCTTTCCTCCCAAACTCAGCCTCCAAGTGTAGGCCAGCTCCAAAACTCCTCCCAGCTCCATCCGAAAAAACCATCACTGATCTGGCATCCTAAGGCAAGCTCAAGGCTTTAGGGCATAACGCTTTCCTAAGGCTGGAGGATAAATGGCATCTTGCAACATGGCATCCAAAAAATGCAACAAACCCCAACATTAACGAAAAACAAAAGACAATAATAGAAAAGGAATTTGCCTCCGAATTCCTTCTTTAAGAAGAATTTGGTGGCTAAAAAAGCATTGCTGAGAGGGAGAAATTACTTTCTTGCCTTTCAAAAGTATTTGAGATTTCGAAAGGTCTGTCCCACTGTGGAATGAAAATAAAAGAGGTTTTACAGCCTTTACATTTCTTAGCAGTTCAAGGAGACCTCTGAACCCTCTTTTCTTGTGTCACGTCTTACAAACCCAACAAGACCCTGGAGCATCAAACACTCCGGTACGACTTTCCCAGCTGCCACAGCTCTACAGCACCAGCACGAAGGTGAATTTGTCATTCACCTGCAGACTTTTATTCCATTGAGCACTGTCTTCCACGTCCCTTTCCGACACCTGAGCTTTCATATGACCCATTTAGTACTTTTTCTGGGTCTTCTACAGAGGCTTTTAGAGCTGAGAAGCAAATTGTGATATTCACAAAGTGCCTCTCTTACAGAATTTTCTTTAAAGTGAGACAAAGAGAAGAATTGCTCATAAAAAGGACAGTTACAGTCCAAAAATATTCTGTGCCCAGCACCTCCTGTTCCTGACCATCCTCAAAGGCACCCCTAAACTCTCAGCCCTGGCTCTAAACCAAAGGGTAAATGGTGATTTTGTAGATGCTGACATGTATTAAAGTGTTCTCGCGCTTCTCCTGGGCTACGGCAGCGGAGACAGGTGGGTGGGCAGGGAGGAGGACGGGCTGGAAACCTTTCCCAAGAGGGGAGAAGCAGGAGGACCTGCGGGCAGCGACAACCCTGCAAACTCCAGGCAGCACCCTCGGTGCCTTCAGTGCTCCAGGAGGGAAAACCTTCTTCCAAAGCCAGGGGAACGGTGAGCCCTTGGGAGCGACGTGACCTTCTCCTGCATCCCTGTGGGATCTTGCCACACCAAATCTCCAGCGGGTGATTTTTCACCGGCCGGAACGAAGGCTGCGCGAGCGGAGAGGCGGCATGCCGATCCCCTGCTGCAGGCGCCCTGCGGCACGTGGCACGCTCCCACTTCCCGACCCTCGGCGTGGGGCAGAGCGTGGGGTTACCCTACTTGAGATGTCAGTTCAAGTGCTCTGCAAACAGACTCAAGAGCCTCTTGTCAGCGGTACAGCGACGGTCCCCGCTTCCGTAAGCTCTTGCTGGGTGAACCAAAGAGCACTGAAGGGCTGGCTGGGAATCGGTGCCCGCTGTCGCAGACTTTTATTGGCGTTTGCCCGGAGTTCAGACCCATTGGACAGTACCAGCTCTATACCGGTGGTACTGGTGGGGTCTGCATCACAGTCCCAACACCGTGCTCCCAGCAGCGGAGCCCCGGTGCTGTGCCACACGTACCTCCCCATGCCACGTCCTGCTTCCAGCCCTTCTTAAACCTCTCCTTGGAGGACATGGTGCTTTGGCAGGAGAGCAATGGGGAAGCAAGGTGTCATCAGCAAGGAAATGGTGCCTCACATCACCTCCAAGGATTGCCTTTGCCACCTTCCTCTGGTCTGTTGGCTCGAAGACGGCTGCCCTGCCAGCATAACTGACAGCTTGCTACATACACTCCCCTTTTTGGACTAGCTAAACATCTTTGAAAATTCAAAACAAAGCTATTCCATTAAGCTTGGAAATTTTAAGCAAGACAGACTCCTTTTCCTTGTGGATTGACACACATCTATCACTGATTTGATGGAAAAACCACTGCAAGACCACTGCACTGAGATGAAATTTCAGCTCAAAGTGCAATTTCTTTTATGGTCGAGACCCAGGAGAGTTGTGGAAGGAGGAAGATGGTCAGACACCCATGAAACCAGCATGGGCAGCCTGGCTTGCGGCAGAGGCTGTGCCACTCTTGCAAGACTTACTAAATCCAGGGTTGATGAAATACCAGGAGATGCTAGCTGTTAAAATAAATAGCTGAAACAGTCAATTATTCAAAGTCTTGGCCAAAATATTCAAAATTCTTGGCCAGAATTGTGCAGGCTTTTACAGAGTGGCAAAAAACATCTAAAAAAAAGGTCATTCTCCTGAATTTCAGTACGCTCATCTAAAACACATGGTATCAGAAGGTTTCAAAAAAAGGTCACTAGAATCTTTTACCTGGGAAAAAAGCGTGTTTTCCACTCACCCTGTTTTCTAACAGAGCTGAAATATTACGGCTGTTCATAAGCATTGCCCTGTTCCTAAGAAGACGCCTGCTATGGATTCAATTATATTAACATGAATAATTCTGAGAACAAAGAGGACCTGAATCTGATGCAGTATCTAGGCCAATGTCCCCTGATGTGTGGCACCTGTGTGGTCTCCAGAGGACCTGGGACGTGGTCCAGCAGATGCAGCTCCTTTATCTGGACACTGCAAGACGGGTGCAGATCCCTCCCCATCCCCAGGGGTTAGCAGTCGTGAGATTGATGGGTCTACGTTAATTTTGGACTGTATCCCTCCAAGCACACACCAAATAAGGTTTGTGCTTGACATTATATCTCACCAGAGATGCTGAGACAAGAGGAGTTTAGTGGAGAATTCCAATGTGCTGTGCTGGAAAGTTGGCTTTCCCTTTTCCCCAACCTCTGCCACCATCACCAGAAGCACAACGTTATCCATGAGCTTTGCTCCATCCTCCACCCACCGCAGCTCCGCCACCGCGCGCAGCCCACCAGCGACGAGGGTGGCCCACTCACCTGTTGCCTTTTCGGGGTTATTGCACATGAAGCACTGCCAAGCTCCTGCTTCCTCGCTGTAGCCGAATAAATCAAAGAACCTCACTTCTTCCAGGTGCATCTGCACATGGTCCAGGTCCTAGGCCAATAAGGAGAAGAACCAAACTTACGAGGGGAACCATGGCACCGTTAACAGCTGTCACCCGAAATCACAGAGGGGTGTGCAGCGGGCACCCACGAGGGTCCTCTTCCACGTGCCTCCTCTGGGCAAACAACCCGTCGGGACAAACGTGCTAAGCAGGACAATGATCTCTCCATCATTGGTAGCAGCTAATGTGTATATATATAAATATACATAAAAATTAATATATTCATATATATAGATACATAAAACAAGTCTGTGGGAGGCAGAGGAGTGGCCTGGGATTTTTTTGCCTCTTGAACGTTGCTGCCAGCAGTGTGCTCAGCTGTCCTGCCCGGCACATCTCCCACCAGCTGAACTACCTTTCTTACCTCCAGCCCTCTCTCAGGACTTTTTTCAATGTTAGTGGGCTCTGCTAACAGTGCTGAGGGCTTCCTCCTGTCCAACCAGATCCCCCACCAGAGGAAGAGTTAGTGGCTGGGGGCTGGTTTTTTTTTATTTTTTTTTTTTTTTTTTTTTAAAGAAAGAATAGAGGCTCTGAACACAGCCGCCTGTGAGTACCGACACAAAAATGTGAATTAAAAAAACAAAAAAAAATTAAAAAAAATAATTAAAAAAACCCCAAACCTCTTGGAGAAGAGGAGGCTGAGGGGAGACCTGATGACAGCCTACAAATACTTGAGAAAAGATGGTGGGGAGGTGGGGGAAGGGCTCTTTACATTAGTGATGGGTGATAGAACAAGAGGAAATGGGCATAAGCTTAGTCAGGGGAGATTCAGGTTGGATGTTAGGAAGTATTTCT